TGGGAATTTAATCGAACTAAATTTAGTAGCCTCCAATCTAAGACTTTGTTCAACAACTTCAACCTCAGACTTCAGATTGTCCCGATACTCGGTAACGTTTTTCCAAGAAATATTGTCACGGCCGGTGTATAAAGCATCACCAGTGCTGCCGTCTGCCTAGAAATGAATGTTACCGATTTGCAACATATTACTTATATTGTGACGGCGCATTATTATTATTAATAATTAATTTCTAGCCGTCTAAAATCTTAGAAGTAGTATTTTAAATAATTAAAGAACGGCGTTATTGAGAGTTATCGTTAAATGAAGATAAGAAAAATCAATATTCTTTTTATTATAACATGTATTTACTAATAAAGTATAAAATTTACAAATAACAAATATTAATATAGACACAAATAACAACGCTCATTGCAAGCAATATCGAAAATAGAAAGTAGGTACTTTCTATAGCTTAATATTGACTGAATAAATGATATTTCTTGATAACTCGGGTTATCTTTTATTGAATCAATAGCTAATGGGAATATAGGTAACTAGAAACTTAAGAAACCGGGCATTAAATAGCTGATAAAGTGTAAAAAAGTGTAAAGTATTGGTTTTTATAAATCCAGTACAAGCCGATCTCACATTACCATGCGAAGTTAGCGTAAACTGGAAATGTATAGCTTAAAAAAGTATATTTCACCCATACAGAAAATCGCCTATGAATAACCATTTTAATAATAATTCTAAAAGTCGTTATGGAAAAATATGTTAACGTAAGATTATACTATTTAACTAAGAATGTAACACCTGAATTGACTAAGCGGAAGTTTTAAATAAATATTTACATTTTACTGGTTAATTAAAAAAATTGTGTGTTATTTTGGTGAAACATTAGTGAACGTTATTAATATTTCGTTTTAACTATATATTGTTTACTTTAATTATAATATTTTCTGGACATATCATTTTTATTCAGAACTCAAAATAATCTTAGTACAATTATAAATAGAAAAATCCACAACTATCCTATTTAGTCAATCACTAGCGTCTAAGTAAAATAAATGGCTTTTGCACAGCACAACGATAGCGACATATGTTTATAAGTGTATAGGTTGTACGATACATGGTAAAAGCACGCTGTATTTGATAGGATACGGTTTATAATTGATTGTGTTGTACGTTCTGATTTATGAAACGCGGACTGTGTATCTATTGATTTTACTGAACTGAATGCGAGTTGACGAGTTGGCGAGTGGCGGGGACAAACTGGCGACAACAGGTGCCGAAACATTTTAACTACTGGGTATATCTCCTGTTGTTTCCATGATCTGAGTTTGAGCAATATGGCCGGCCCATTGCCACTTCAGCTTAATTTTTATGAAATAAAGCAAATAATATGTGGAAGGTCTCTTATATGTAAAAGCATTATATTAATAGAAATGGGACTTGAAAAGAATTATTATAGTGGCGTATAGACTGCATCACAGCGTCCGTAACCGAGGTATACTTGGACTCGCTAACCGATCTGTTCTAGTCATATAATCTTAGTGCCGGTGTTAAACGGGATTGTTGTAGCAATACGGCTTTCCCCTGGACATCGCTCATACATATCGTTTGTGTGGCGTTGTCTTAGCGCATAGCGTTTTGATACGTCGGCTATATTTTGAATTGAAATGAGTGTATTTGGTAGCACTTTTAAGTGTAACAAGCATAATCAACTCCATTTCTTAGTGTATCAGCGCTATGATACGTGGATTTTTGACTAGAAGCGTACTATTGTGATACGTTGGTCTTATTTATAGTTAATAAATGTTGTGTTCGCAATACGGAGCGCAGGAGACTAGTGAAACACTTAACGGCTCTCAACGTACTCCTTTAATTGCAAGCATTATCATTGAGCGCACAGCCGCGCACAAACACAACATTCCTCCCCCTGTAGTAAGGGTATTATATGCTATACATTGTATAAAAACTAATATATTAAAAAAAACTTTTTGTAATTGACTTTGGGGCGATTTTGTTTTAATAGCGCTTGATATTCTTGTGCCGGTAATACGACTCTCCTCGTCTCATTTTCAGACGACTATGAATGCCGAACTCCTCTCGTTACTGTAACATGTGAGGGTGATGGTGATTGGTGGCAAGAGTCATTAGAATGTATCAAGTTCTCAGTAGAAGTCTCAGTTGCAGGCGCAGGTTTTAATATTATGTCCTCGTGTTCATACCCCTCCCTCAGACCGCGAACTTGCTCGTGAGATTGCGAGTCTGGCGGTAATATACGTTACGATGGCGCAGGTGTCAATATAGAACTGCCTGGGGAATCAGGGCTGAGGATAACAAGCTCACAAGATCTAATTTTTCTATCAATGGTGCCTTTATATAAAATTATTTGGTTTACAGGTTTTTTTTACAACAGTAATTAAAAATGAGTATCGGATTAATCATGTAATTTTACCAAGTTTTTGTATAATTATGCTTTTATGCCATTGGAACTTATCTTTATTAGAATATTTTTTATATTTTGTCCGGGTAAAAACTTGTTTGTTTTCCACCGTGTGGCTTAACCTGTCAACACTGTTTTGATCGGACTGTTTTAGCGAGTGAGGAAGACAGGGACGGCGATAGTGCTGGCTAACCGCGATCACGGAATAAATAATAGTACTACGTACAGAAGCTGCTCTCCTTTGATGTCAACTGCTTGTCGACGTTTAATAGCCTACATAATTATTATTAACCCTTTACTTCGCAAGCAAAAAAAAATATTTAATTTTATAATTTTATTAAGTTGATTGGTTTCTTATAAGTCTAAAGAAGCTTAAAAAAATGTTGAAAAAATTATCGTACATATGGTTTTTGGAAAATCAAATGTAGGTGACGTACAACACTGCGAGATACTTAGATAATTTTAGAGAATAATGAATGTTGTTCTCTACCAACACTGCACCTGTGGTAAGAAAACAAAAGGTGAAATGGATACAACTGTTTATTTTGAAAAGTAGCTATTTATTTTATTAAAATAAGAAACTTAGGGACCTTGGACAGAGACATGGTAACTGTAAAAACAATTTCGTTTTTCCAAAAAACATAAACGCAAGGTACATTTATTGCAAAAAGCACTTGTATATCCTTTTTTACAATATTTACATCTACCTTGCGGTACAAATGTTGGTAAGTGACCAACACTGTCATATCGCACAGAATCCGGTGGTCTTGGGGCTGATGGAGTCTTTATCTTTACAGTAGGCTCATTTTCTTTTGCATCTGACTGCCGAATCCTGTTACATTGTAACAGTTCATTTGCTAGCTCTACACGGTATACTTTAAGAGGCAGACTTTTCTTATCACCTGGACGATCTCTTCCATAAGTAAGCCATGCATTGTTCACACAAATATCAAGTGATTGAGCAAATAATGCCATATACCATCGCTTGGTCTTAAAGTTTGAACGATACAATGATATTAACATATCGGCTAAATCGACTCCACCCATATGGGCATTGTATTGCTTTACAATTTGTGGACACTCTATATCAACTCTCGATTTAGCCTCTTTAGAGTATCTCTTAATTTTTTCCTTTGGGTGGGAGTCCACAAATGAACTTGCCAACGTAACGACTTTGTTATCAAACCATTTGACAACGGCAAGTTTATTATCGTTGCAAAGAGCTGATGACTTGCGCCTCTGCCTTTTTTCGCTAAAGCCTTGTCAGTAGTCATTTTTGTAAAAAAGAATCGCTTGAGAGGCTGTGATCCTCTCAAGCGATTCTTTTTTTATAGTTCCCAAACTGAAAATGCCATAGTCCTCCCTTAAGTGACGAATCAATTCTAAGGATGTAAAAAAATTATCAAAGTAAACTGTTGCAGGTTTATTTTTTATAGTTTGACACAATGCTAAGACTACTTTTGCCCCAAGACCTAAGCTGTTTTCGTAGTCCGAAAAACAATGATTCCTAAAAGTATCATCGCCAGCATAAGGGATAAAATCATAGACTACGCCAGAGACCCCCGCACGAATAAAAATTTTAAATCCCCATTTCTTCGGTTTCTTCGGCAGATATTGTCTCCTACTTCCAGCTCTAGTTCCTTTGTAGGGGACCATCATCTCGTCTATACTAAAACGCCCTTCTTCTTCGAGTTGTAAACAGTTCAGTCGGATCCGTTCTAGTATTGGACGAACTTTGAAATACCGATAGTCATTCATACTTGATTTGTCGCAAAAATGAAGGAACATTCTAATTTTTTCATATTTTCTTAGTTTTTTTTTTATAGGATAGGGTGACAAACGAGCACACAGTCCACCTGATGGTAAGTGGTTGCTGTGGCCCATGGACATCTACATCTATCCTCAATTACGAATCAAAATGCAGATTCGTTGTCACCCGTGAGGACTAAGATGGAATGCCTCGTTTCCAGTAAAAAGGGTCTCCGGTTCTCTACACTCACCATACGAAATACAGCAGCATTAAGCTACTATTTCACGCTGGTATTCTGTGAGAGCGTGGTCCTTCCCCGGTCGAGCCGACCCATTCGTGCTACAACTATACTACTAATATAACTGCAGCATGGCTCTACCACGTAAAAGTAGTGGCATAACATCAGCAATTTTAGAAAACCTAAGCCTATTACTCCAATAATCACGATAAGAGGGCAACTGAACAACACCCATTAGTATCGTTATGGCAATAAAATCTTTTATATCTTCAATGGTGACATTGATACTTTTGGTAGCTGCACATTGTACTGAATACAAGTTAGTATTATCGGCGATGAGGTCAACTATGTCGTCGGAAAAAAAGTTCTAAAATAATCTAAAGGCGTTTTCGCTGTGGCTTCTAAAGGGGGTTGATATTCAGGTAACATTTAAATTTTAAAGGTTACCTAACAAATTTCTTTACTCGTTTGGTTGTAAGTCGAGGCACAGTATTAGCTGCTCTTTTTGAACGAGTTTTATTAGCTGGCGAGTCTAATGGCGACAAAACGGATGAAACTGAATGTAGCATGAAAGGGAGTTGTTATTGAGGTTGACCAGTAGGAAACATTTCTTGAATAACAGGAGATAGTGGAACGGTATCTTCATCGGATAAAATTGGGTTTTCTCGTGCTAGTCCTACATTTTCAGGCTCAACATTTTCGTCTTCATCGGAACTTGAGAAAATGTGCATGCAATCTAAAGATGATGGATATGATCTCGGTTCAGAACTACAATACGTCAAATCATCATCATCATCATTGGGCTTCTGAAACAACATTTCTTCTTCAGAGGCACTGTTGCTATCTGAAGAAGCTGCCTTTTCAGGTGGTACCAAAGCCATTATTTTTTGCGTTCTTTGCCATTTTAGCTTCATCTGAAATAAGCAATGCAAAAAAACATGCAAAACCGCACCCAAAGCATAAATCAAATACCAAATATAAGATATTTACGAGAAAAAATTAAATTGTATCAGGTATCAGACGAAAGTCGAAACTGAAAACAAAAAGAACAACTAAGCTCAACATATTTTAGGAGAACAGACGTTCTCGGTCGTTTAGACGTTCTTTTTGGTAAAAAATAGATTGTACCTGTATATTTTGCAAGATATATATATATATATATATATATATATATATATATATATATATATATATATATATATATATATATATATAGTTTAATTCGAAAAGAAACGTTATAAAAAAACGCAAATGAAATAAAAAACACTGTTATAAAATAAATCGTCAATATACCTACTAAAGGGACAGCGTTGTCTGTCAACAACATATAAAACTCACATTAATTTTCTCAATACTTCGCAATGTAGGTGCCCTACAACATACTCTTTTACAAACATATATTTCCTTCTTTACAAGTAATTACTATAGGTTTTACAAACAAATTACAACAGTAAGTATCTAAGAGGTAAATAGTAACACATAATAGGCAATATTGTTCATCATCATCATCATTACAACAGCCCTTCACAAGTCCACTGCTGAATATAGGCCTCCCCAAAGTATGCCACAAAGCACGGTCCTGAGCCACCTGCATCCATCGACTTCCTGCATGTCTTACCAGGTCCTCACTCCATCTAGTGGGGAGTCGCCCCACACTTCGTCTACCGGTACGAGGCTGCCACTCGAGAACCTTTTTTCCCCAACGGTTGTCGTTTATTCGAGCTATATCTTCAGCTACAGCTTCAGCTTACTAATTTGGGCTATGTCGGTCACTCTGGTTCTACTGCGGATATCCTTATTTCTAAGTTTATCACGCAGAGAAACTCCGAGCATAGCCCTCTCCATAGCTCGCTGAGCGACTTTGAGCGTCCTCATACGGCCAGCAGTGAAGGACCACGTCTCAGTTCCATATGTCATCACTGGCAACACGCACTGGTTGTACAACTTAGCTTTCAGGTTTTGAGGTATACCTGACGAGAAGATGCGTTGTAATTTCCCGAACGCTGCCCAGCCGAGTTGAATCCGTCGATTGACCTCTCGGTCGAAGTTGGACTTACCTGGCCGGACTATTTGTCCCCGGTAAACGTACTCGTCAACAACTTTGAGATTAGTGCTCCCAACAGCTACCGGCATAGGTGTGACATGGACATTAAACATGATCTTTGTTTTGTCCACGTTCATCTAACCGTTGGGAGGCACTATTGAGGTCATTGAGCATAGTGCTTATGTCTTCCATCGATTCTGCCATAAGGACTATATCGTTGGCAAATCGAAAGTGAGTGATGTACTCGCCATTGATGTTAATACCGTATCCTTTCCAGTCAAGTAGCTAGAAAACATCTTCCAATGCAGCAGTGAAGAGTTTCGGGGAAATAACGTCACCCTGTCTTACACCTCTCTGCAGTTGGATAGATTTCGTACTCTGGTTCTGTACTCGGATAGCCATCGTAGCCCTACTGTACAAACACTTCAGCACTTCGATATACCGACAGTCAACTTGGCACCGCTGAAGAGACTGTAGCACCGCCCAAACTTCGACGGAATCAAAGGCTTTCTCATAGCATACATACGCCAGGCAAAGTGGCAGATTGTACACTTCGGTCTTCTGTACAATTTGCCGAAGGGTATGTATGTGGTCCATGGTCCTTTTCGGAAACCGGCTTGTTCGGGAGGCTGGAAGTCGTCAAGTCTGCGTGCGAGACGATTCGTAATGACTCTCGAAAACAGCACGTAGACGCGACTCACAAGGGATATCGGTCGGTAGTTCTTCAAGAGGGCGTTGTCACCTTTCTTGAAGAACAAGACCACCGCACTTCTGCTCCACGCCTCCGAAGTAGTGCCACCATGGAGGACGGAATTAAAGAGCCTCTGAAGGACTTCAAGTACCGGTGTTCCACCCGCTTTCAGAAGCTCCGCTGTAATTCCATCCTCGCCCGGGGACTTGCCGTTTTTAAGGTGCTGGAGAGCCATTCTAATCTCGCTCAGACTGATCTCCGGGATATCATCGGAATAGTGTCGGATAAGACCCGCTCTTGGATCGTTACTCACACTTGCGTGTGGCTCCAACGATGATGTGTACAGCTGCCCATAGAACCTCTCAATCTCACTCAGAATCTCAGGTGTCCCGGAAACGATGCTGCCACACTCAGTCTTCAGCTTTGACAGTTGGCTCTTATTGGCAGACAGATCTCTGGCAAAGACTTTGGAGCCCTGGTTCCGCTCAATCGCTTCTTCAATACGAGCAGTATTAAATTTGCGTAAGTCTCGCCGCATGCATTTGGAGATCTGTCTGTTCAGTTGCCTGTATGCTGTCAAATCTGTTGACGATTGCAGCCTCATCTCCCGTCTAACAGCCATGAGATTAAGAGTGAGATCGGAGAGATTTTGTGTTCTTCTGCGGCCAGTCTTGCAGAACTTAGCTCCGACCGCATGGACAGTTTCCACGAGCTTGTCATTCATTGCACCACTGCATTGCAATCTTCTAGGCACTGAAAGCGGTTACGTAACTCGAGCTGAAAGGTTTCGGGATTCTGGATTAGAGCACGAGGGGGACGGAGCGTTGACTTCATTAGACGAGACCTCTCCAACTTAACGTTTAGGTTCAGTGTGCCTCTAACCATTCGATAATCGCTGCCAGTTTTCACCCTTGCGATCACTGTGACATCACTGAACAGTTGGCGTCTGGTCGTCATAATGAAGTCAATCTCATTTTTTGTTGAACCGTCGGGGCTCGACCAGGTCCACTTCCTGTGGGGCCGCTTCTGGAAGAAAGAGTTCATCATAAAGAGTCCCTCTTTCTCCATAAAGTCGGCCAGCTGGTGGCCCCTACGGTTCCGTTGCCCTACTCCAAATTTCCCTACTTTCAGCTCACCGCTTTCTCTTGTGCCTACTTTTGCGTTGAAATCTCCTATCAACACCGTGTAGTGGGTTTTGGAGGAATGCATGACTCTGGAAATATCCTCATACATTTCCTCCACCTCCTCATCGGGATGTGCCTGATGCGGGATGACCTTCAGCGAATACCGTTTAGTGATTCTGAGTATCAGGTACGCGACCCTCGTCGACACACTCCCAATCTTTACAACGTTGTTGACGAGAGACTTGTGGACGATAAATCCGACACCTCCTTGGGACAGATGGTCGCCCTCCCGGTGATAGAACAAGTTGCCGGACTCGAGGATTACCGTGTCCTTCCCCTCTCTTCGGACCTCGGATAACCCGATAACATGCCAACGCAACTTGTCTACCTCTTCTTCCAACTCCAGTATCTTCTCGTCAGTTCTCAGGGCGCGTGCGTTATATGTTGCCAGATTGAGTCGTCGTAGGTGGCAACCGAACCTCCACCGGAGATTCTTATCACCCCCTGCCCCGCCGTTACCATGGTCGCCACCGTAGCCAGGAATAGCGGGGCCGCCGGGGACTGGGGGCCGTTTGTTAGCGTCGTTACTCATGGGGGGATATTTGCCATAGTTGCCACGCTTGGCGAGCGGGTTGGCAACCGCAGTTTTTTATCATATCATTGCTTTTATCAGGAAGATGCTACTGCCCATCTCCTGCCTGTCTCCCTCTGTCGCCTCTTACGACACCCACGGGAAGATATGGGGTAGTGGATATTCTCAACCGCCACTACACGGCTGTATTGTTGCTTTAAACTAATAAATAAACAAAATCTAACCTCAGATCCGCAATGTGCTAGTAGTCTCGACGCCATTTTGCGAGTAAATGACATATCAATGACTCTATCTATTCTTATTTCACATACCGTTTTGCTTTCATCTCTTTCAAAAACCATCACTTTCGTCTTACTTGCGTTCACTTTCATTCCCCTTTCTTTTAATGACCTGTTCATTAATGTAACCATCATTTGCAACTCGGCCGCCGACGACGCAAGTATGACTTGATCATCGGCGTACAAAAGGCATTTGATGGTTAACTCACCCATTCTTAACCCGCATTCTTCAACTTTCAAATTTTCCAAACAGCTGTCCATAAATAGGTTGAACAGCCACGGGGAAGCTACACAGCCCTGTCTGACACCTTTATGGATGCCAAACCAGTCCGAGTAGACCCCGTTGATTCTAACACAAGTACTCGAGTCCCTATACAGAGACTTTAATGCGTGTATCAAACCAGCGCTCAACCTAAATGCGTTCAGCGTTTGCCATAACACATCCCTGTCCACTCTGTCATATATATATATATATATATATATATATATATATATATATATATATATATATATATATATATATTTATTATTATAAGTTAAAATATTTTAATTACATAATACAAGTATAGGTATGTATGTAAGTAAATACTTGGATAGTGAAGTAAATTTTAACTAATTTTTGTAATAAAGTACTTAGGTATTTCTTCTGTAGACCAAATTATTACTTAATTCTTTTTTTGCTGTAAGTACCTATGTAACGAAAAAATTTAATAAATTCATCTTTCATAATTTCTTTCTAAAATTCTTCGGTAACTTAAATAATGATATGAAACCTTTTGTTGGTCGTTTCATTTAGTATCCATCCACGCAACAGTTATAGTAGGAACGACGTTTTGCTATTATAATTTATCAAATACATAATATATAATTTTTAAAATACAATAAAACTTTTACAACAATTTTTAACTACTATTAAATATACTAAAAAATAAACAAAAACTATTTCAACAAGTATTTACATAAAACTGTTTAGGTACGTAAACAGCGTTAAAAAACTTTAACATTCAATCGTCTCCAACGCGCTAGCCCTGACTGCGTTATTTCGCCCGGGCACGTCGCGGTTTTAGGTAATTATTTCACGCAGGTAGCAAGAGTGACAGAGGCCTGCCGCGATCTTAATTTGTCCAAAAACTTTTTTGCAGGAGATAAGCCCGTCGTGGAATGGACCCAATTGCAGTAGTCAAAAATGATTTTTTTTGGAAATTTAAATTAAATTCTCTAAGATTATTGCTGCTTAACAAACTAGACTTAATAGCCCTTTTTATTACCTTCACGGCAGCTTTTGGCAAGTAATGGGTAGCTTTCAGCTTACCCATTACTTGCCAAAGCTGCCTAAGAAGGCAGCTGATGTAACATGCGTAATGCCTTTAAGACGACAAATATTCTAAGAACTTCATATAGATCGATAAAACGGTGTTCCATTATTAGTCACTATAGTCTCTGGAAGACCGAATCTTGACATGTATTCATATAGTTTATCATAACTGCAATAGAAGAGCAACAAGTGCAAGAAGTGCTCATGCGGCAGACTTCGACCCATTTGTAATATGCATCAACGAACACCAAGTACGTACACTTATGTACACATATGGGTTAAGTAGTACACATATGGGGCCCGGAAAGTAGAGATGTATTCTTCGGAAAAGGCCAGCAGGATATTTCCACGGGGAAATAGGTACCCGCGGTGGCGATGCTCGTAGTTGCGTAAATATTTCACAAGAGACAGTCATGCGCTCAAGGACGCCATCAGTACCTGGAAACCAAAACCGAGTGCGAGCGTCGGCTTTAGTTTTAACAATACCCATGTGTGTACCCAACTCCGATATCACACTATCACGTAATGATCCAGGGATAACTATTTTATAACCACTCATATGGAAATACATAGTTTTTATATGAAAGTTGTAATTTACATAAACTATAGGGTTTTATCTCTTGATCATTAACGTTTTTAGGCCATCCCTCTAAAACATAACGCACAACTTTTTCCATAAAACGATCTTTATCTGTTGCATCACTTACCGCCTGTAAACTTATTAGTATCGCGCCTTGACGTCGAAATTAACCTACGTAGTGCGATCGTCGGTATCGGCACAGAATAAATAATAGTACTAATTAGTATCGGCGGTTACCGTGTACCCGCGTTTGAAACCCACGCCGCCTGCAGCGGCATCCAGAGGGCTGGCACGCGACAAGTAGTCTACGCTCTGCGCTATTATCCGAACTTTTAAAATATTTTATAATGCAATTATATCCACTAAGAAACAGAAACAGAAACTTTTTTATTCAATGTAGATTATAACAATACTTATTGAAAGTCACTTTTTTCATTTACCACTGGTTCGCAAAAAAAACCTCTGTCCTGGGAAGAACCAGCAAGAAACCCAGAGGGACTATTTTTTTCCAATAATAGCTTGTAATTATGTTTACAATAAACAACACAAGACAAATTAGAAATAGCTTGGTAGCGATCACCCGAAATAAAGCATATATCTGTAAGCGATTAGCCGATACTCCGGAACTTCTTTGTATGGCCCAAAATTAATAATAACGGTTTGTGATCCATACGTAGAATAAAAGGTGTAAACCTACCGTGTATATATATTGGTGGAACCTCTAAAGCATTTCTACATTCTATTATCGAACCTTTATATTACACTTTATGTAGCTAACAAAACGTATGTGCAGTGGGCATTTAAGTGTGTGAAGGTATTTTTCAAACCTCTTTGATTCATCTCGAGAAATCTCAGAAAGCTGCCTTGTAAGTTATCGCAGTATTATAGTAAGAAAATACTCTTTTATGACGAGATAAATGTCTTCTTTTAAAGTAGCGCATGGGAGGCGAGTTTAATATTTATTTTTCTAGTAAGCGGAGTTGACGTTGTAATATAGTATGGTAAAATATAAAACTGAAAGTGTAGCCACATATTGCTGTCATTTATATCAATAACATTCCTTGTAAATTGAACTAGAGTTCTTCCTATAGTTATATATATATATATATATATATATATATATATATATATATATATATATATTTTTAAAAAAAGGAGAAACCGCATTTGAAAAACAAAAAATAATATAATAATTTTTAACAAAGAAGACTTCAAATGTATTGTCACCTCTGAGGTCTAAGGTGGACTGAAATATAATACCCTACAGCCTGGAAATATGCAAACTGTAAATATATATATATTTTAAAAAAAGGAGAAACCGCATTTGAAAAACAAAAAATAATATAATAATTTTTAACGAAGAAGACTTCAAATGTATTGTCGCCTCTGAGGTCTAAGGTGGACTGAAATGTAATACCTACTTTAATAAAGTTTCAGAGATAAAAGTTAAAAACATCATGTGTAAATGACGCAACTTGGGCAAAGCAAAGCTACTAGGAAGTAAACCAAGACGAAGAGATAAATAGCTCCGCAAACCAAGATCTAGGTCATCTGTACCTACAGCCTGGAAATATGCAAACTGTAAATATACCCTGTGCCCTTCAGACTGATACACAGCAGTGCAAAAAATGCTATTTGGCGGCAGAAATAGCTTATAGATTACAATTCTATTCTATTCTGTCCTACCCAAGCTGATTCCTAGATGGAAATGGACTACCTAGTAAAGCAGTGTTTCTATCGAAATATATTAAAATGTGTAGAACATTGAGTTATATATTACTAGGAAATCATTGGTGCCGAATAATTATTTTGTTTGTAGAAACACAGCACTTACCAAGTAATATTATGCCATTCTGCTATATTATATTTATATGTGAATTAATCATTTCGAATTTACCCAAAAATCATAGATAATAAAATACAAATATAAAAAAAACTTTCCGAACTGTTATCCGGAAATTTAGATTCATCGTGAAGGAAATTCGCGAAACATTTTCATTTAGATTGGACGTTAGTGTGACTTAAGTGTGTTTGACTTAAAAATGGATGCATTGGCCTGGTGAGCACTCGCTGTAAATTTTACAGTACGCGAGCAACCCGAGTTTGATCCTCGCTGGCAAAAATGAAATTTCAAATTGTAATTTTAAGCGCGGATTTACCACGTGCTTGGCAATGAAAGAAAATATATTGAGGAAACCTGTATGTCTGAGAAATAAAAAAACAAACATATTTCGAAGAAAAGTGAAAACTATTTAAATCATTATTAATAATATTTTATACGTGGTAGAGCCATGCTGCACGTTAAACTAAATAATTATATTAGTAGTAAAGTGTAGACCGAGGAAGGACCACGCTCTCACAGAATACCAGCGTGAAATAGTAGCTTAACGCTGCTGTGTTTCGTACGGTGAGTGTAGAGACCGGAGACCCTTTTTACTGGAAACGAGGCAATCCATCTTAGGCCTCACGGGTGACAACGCATCTGCATTTTGATACGTAATCGAGGATAGATGCAGATGTTAAAAAAAATGTCTATGGGCTGCAGCAACTACTTACCATCAGGTGGACTGTGTGCTCGTTTGTCACCCTGTACTATAAAAAAAGGATTATTATAGTGGCGTGTATGCTACTTCACGAGTAATTGGTCCGAGGTAAACTTGGACTCGCTAACCGATGTGTCCTAGATATATCATCTTAGTGCACGAGGTAAGCGGGTTTGTTGTAGCAATACGGCTTTCCAGTGGATACCACACATACATACCGTGTGTGGGTAGCGTCGTAGCGAATAGCGATGCATCGTCTATCTTTCGGATTGGGATGAGTGTGTTTGGTAGCAATTTTAAGTGTAACAGGCATACTCAACTTCATGTCTCAGTGCATTAGCGCTATGATACGTGGAGTTTTGTTCACTAGCGTCTTAGTAGCGTGCTATATGATGATAAGATGGTGATATGTTTTAGTTTAACAATAATACAAATTATGTTACCAAAGTCGATAGGGATCATGTGAGTGTGTTGTGAGAGAGCGTCATCCGTATGATAGTTGCATGATGCTTACTGCTACTTGCGGTATTGCGTTTTGTGATTG